ACTCCCCAGTCCCCCACTCCCCAGCCCCCGGAAGCCACCATTCCTTACTTTGCTGCTGTGAGTTGGACTATTTCAGATGCTTCATGTAAGTGGAATAATGTGGTGTCTTCCCTCTGCCACTGGCTCTTCTTGTTGAGTGTAATGTCCTCCAAGTTCACCGACAGGGTTGTGCTGCAGGAGTTCTTTGTTTCTCAAGGCTTAGTAAATGTATCCTATTTGACTATTTCTATGGAAACCCTCTGTCACGTGTGTGGCAGGGTCATTTGCAGAGCACTGAGTACATTACTGCATGCCGGGGTCCAGCCTTGGCGTGGGTGGGTTATCTCAAGGGAGGCGGCGAAGGTGAACAGAAGACAGAGGCCTCGATGCCTTTTCATGCACGTCCTATGCCGGACACCCCTCAAAGATCGCTCTCTGAGGAGTGACAACTGCTAGGAATCATTGTGCCTTTTCATTGAAAATGTGATACATGCAAGTAAATGGGCAGTAAAAGATTTACTCTAAGGAACAGGGTATACAAAGCATGGAAGCAATAATTATAAAACATGCTGTTTGTCTTGTTAGCTCAGGTAAAATCAATCACAGTTCTCAGATACATTACAACAATAGAAGGTGAGTCTATGATCTTATATGGGAAAGGAAGATGATCTTGTAGCTCCGGAGACAACACAGGATGTTTTATTAGCAGTTTTTCATGTTCAACAGCACATCGATGAGAAACTCTTTGTAGTTGAAAGCTACCTGTTGCTTTAGATAAGAATTCCCAGCTAAAATGGTTAATCTTTCTGTGGAGCCCTCAGCTTTGTTTATTCTGTTGTCCCAGCCGGGTTTTTTCCTTTAATAAATCTGTGGGTTCCTGCATTTTGTTAGTTGAGTCTGTCAATTAGTGAGTTCTTTTGTTTTATCTCTGAGTCTCTGTTATGTGGTGAATGTGCTGACTTTCCTAGCCTGAGTAAATTTCAGCTGTAGCTTTAACAAGGGGGATCTACATAAAACTAACCTTAAACTAACTTAGTCTACATATACTTCTAATGCTAATTTGGTTTATACTAACTTAATCTACATGTTAATTTTGGCTTAAAAACAGACAGGTGGGGGAGTCTTAAACTTCCTGGTCCTCCTGTCAGTCTTAGGGAACCACATTCCTACAAGATCACTAATTGGCTTTATTGCAATGGTTGGGGGTGATGTTTTACCCTTACAGGGTACCGTAATAACAGTAAAACTCACGGCAGAGAAATTGAATACCGGCCAGTACAAGGACACAAGGGAGAGCTCGTAAACTGGGCCTTGCCTCAGTTTCTTCCCAATCCAGGCCCTGCCTTAGAATGGGAGGCAGCATCCTTACCAGCTTGTGTTGCCTGCATGGCCTCGTCGACTGCACATTCATAGTTCAAGTCTGCTACCCAGAGAATGCTCAGAGAAAAGGAATAATGTCATATTTTATTGACAATGCATTACGTACCAAATACAAGTGCTTTATTTGAAAAATTTTGGTTAATCAGACGTTCGACTTAGACAAAAACCCAAGAGACAAATGTTACTTTCATTGTACAGATAGGGAATGGCTATACTTAAATAACTTGGTCAGGTTAATTGGCTATTAAAATCCAGTGCTGGGACTCAGATCCTGGCCTGCCTGTTCCTAAGGCCTGTATTTACAACTCTATCCTAGAATGGACATTTGTAGAGAGAGATACCTATGTTTGAAAACAGAATGTTGTCAAACCCCATGTCCCATTCGTTCTGCTGGCTTTAATAAAACCATTTTACCTGAAGATGGTGGTATAAGGAAAGAGTTCTGACTTGACACTGAGACACCTGGGCCTGAATCGGATTCTAACACTTGCTAGTCAAGACCTGAGGCCAATTCTTGTCATGTTACACTTAGCTTTATTACCATTATTTTGTAATCTACTGTCATGGTCCATTTTACAAGATTGAATCCAAAGCTTAATCAATAGGAAGTACCTAGCATATAATAGGACTCTAAACTTCTTGATTCCCTTTGATAATCTCAGACAACCTCTTTACCATTTCCTATGTGCAAAGGCAAATTTGGACACATTTTTCCTAGAAATCTTTAAAAAAATTTTTAAAAAGAATTAATTTCTTTAACTTTACTTATTTATTTTTTAATTTGACCAGAGAGAGACAGAACAAGAGACAGTAAGAGTGAGAGTGAAAGTCAAAGCAAAAATGAGAAGGCAAGCTGGCAGGTCTGGGACTTGAACCATAATCAGTCAATGGGGGAGTCCAGCACCTTTAACCACCATGCCACCTGCTGGCCCCTTGGCTAGAAATCTTACCGTTGAGGATTAGAAGTCACAGAAATGGAAATATATTTATTGACGATTTAGTACATAAAGTCAACTAAAGAATGTCACATGCATCTTTTTTCAGACATTTTTAAATTACACTTACTGATTTATAAATGACATACACAGATCATTACATATTTTAAACGAACAGCCATTCCTTCCTCCCAGAAAGTTCCCTTTCGCCCCGTTGTGATCCTCTCTCCATCCCTGACAATCAGCCATACGACTTCTACAGCCAGCAGTAGTTTTGCTCAGGCATCTCTCTAATGGAAAGTTAAACCCTGCCCATTGAAGCACTCCATCTTTAGTACATAACTAAATACTCAAGGGGGTGAAGTGGTCCTGGAAAGTCCGATGTTCCCATAGTGTGCAAAGCCTTGTGAGGTACCAGATCACACTGGGCTCAATCCTGCTGGGTAGAGAGGATCTGATGATCACAATCAGATAGCCTGCCCCGCAGGTAGAGGCTACTTCTACAGAACGTATCTAGTCACTTCATTTCTTCTTTCACTCACTCGTTCATTCAAATTATTTTATAATATTTTGACAAAGATGTTGTCATCTCCAAGGATATTGTTTTGCGATTCCCTCTGTCAGCACGTAGCAAGGCTTCGCGTTCACACACGGGCAATGGTGGCTTCACGGAGATGGTTCCACATTGGGAGAAAGGTTCTCTTTGTCTCGATGCCACATGTTCTGTCCATAAAACATCAGCCTCGAGCTAGAAAATCTTTCCGGCCCTACTCTGTACACCAGACTCCTGGGCCATGTGTTTCTCTCTGGGAGCAGAGGAGTCTTCTGCATAGACATGGAACCCACTCGTGAGCTTGCAGGCTCCAGCTTCATGACCTCAGTTGTGTTCAGGAACGGGCTCTTCTTTGTCTCTGTTGTCTCTGTGTCATTATCTCTTAAGCCCAATGGAAACTGAGTGTCCTAGACCTTGGACATGGGCTTGTGTTGAGAATAAAAAATAGAATAAAATAAAATAATAGAATTAAAATAAAGTAAAATAACAGTGCATGGGAAGGCGAGCCCAATCTGAAATGCTGTCGTATTTCAGGGTTAACCACCTACCGTATTTTTAGGGCCCTTTCTCAGACATTGGTGAGAATTTGAAAGTCATGACAGTGGTGTATTAAACTTAGTGCAGTGGTTCTAAGTCTGGGGCCCTGTGCAGCAGTATGCGGTTTTGAGCTCCTTTATATTTATTGCTTAGTTAATGGCAGGTGTCCTGATCAAGGGAATATCCTCCATGAATATAATGTCTCAAAAGGAGACCATTGTTCCTTACCCCGGGATTTGCTACCTCTGCCAAGTCCCTCAGACATCAGTTCTCCTGTGGGCTAATAGGTCATTGCAGCTCTGTGTAGCCTCCATCTTCCACAGAGAGGTTGGTCCGGGTGTTGGCACTCACACATGGGGCACGGGGAGCAGGTGCTCTGGGGAAAGAAGGTGCTCTACTGCATGGGGAAGGTGTTCTATTCATCAGTGAATTGAGGAGAAATAGAGCAAACCAAGCCCTCCTGTGTTGAAAGTCGGCCCCTGAGCTCTGGAAAACAGCAGAGAGAATCATGGTAGCCAGGAGGATGTTAATGGGACTTCAGTCAATTAAGCAAATTAGAAAAGGATGCTTGAAGGAGCATCTGGGGCATGGTTGTCATGAAAGGCACCAGGAAGCTACAAAG